ACTTTGCCATTCTTCAAGTTCTTGCTGCTAAATATTCTCCACCGTTAAGTATGCTCATACTGCATAATGAGCAGATTCAGCAGATTCTCCACTGTTTACAAGATGGTTACACTATGTTATTATTAACTAATCTGTCAACCTGTTCTATTATCTTTGTGTTGTGTGTGTATACTTAAACATTTATTGAAAAATTAAATCAAAATTGAATAACAACTTCATATATATGTGGCAATTGGCGGCGGGCAGTAAAATGAATAAACGAAAAAACTGGCAACGCTGTTAGTTTTTGATTGTAGTTAGTTGGAAAGAGTGAGTGCTATGGACGGGCGTAAAAAGGGTAGAGCGTCGATTTTAAAATACATTGAAATAAATTTTCTTTTTGTAATAAAATATTATTGTAAAAAAATATTAATAAAATTTATTTATCATTATATTAATAAATTTTTCCTACATTTGGGGGCTCAACCGGGATCACGGTGATCGAAAAAGCATGTGAAAATCAAAGCGCACAACATTGTGAAATTAAATGTTGGGTTTTTTTTTTGCTACAACAAAACTACAATAAAGCAACAGTAAAAAAAAAATTGATGAGCATGACGTCAGAAATTTTAGTGTGGAGCAATTGAAAACTGACGAAGTAGCAAGCATACTAACCGTAACTCACTGTGCGTCTGTTGCAGCTCGGTCTACATTTACTCTGCGTGACGTTGAAGATTCCTTGACTTTATTCTCGGGATCAGATCAACCTACGTTCGAGCAATGGGTAGAAGATTTTGAGGAAAACGCCGCAGCTGTAGAATGGAACGATGTGCAGAAATTCATTTATGCAAAGCAGTTGTTAAAAGGAACTTCAAAATTATTTATCCGCAGTCAACGTAATGTAAACAATTGGAAAATGCTAAAAGAGACGCTGAAGAATAAATTTGCTGTACAAATGTCTGCAATTGATGTTCATCGTGCGCTGAGTAACCGACGAAAACGACATGATGAAAAATTGCTTGAATACCTTTACAGCTTGATGGAAATTGGGAAGGCCACAAAGTTAGATGAAGCAAGTATAATTGAATATTTTATCGAAGGAATACCTGATTCAAGAATGAATAAAGCTGTTCTATATCACGCCAAAGGCATCAGAGACTTGAAAGAAAAAATTAAAATTTATGAAAAAATTAAAGCACTGAACACGAAATACCAATGTACCAAGGTGAACAAAACCGCGCCAGTGCCATCAAGCAAGGAACGGTCGAATTCAAACAGTATAAAAAAATGCTATTCGTGTGGTGAAGATTCACATTTTGCAAAACACTGTCCAAATAGACGTATAAAATGTTTTAAATGCAACCAAAGGGGTCATAGATCATTTGAATGCAAAGTGAAGGTAGAAGCTGAAAAGAACGGCTTATCGTTAGCATCAGAAGCGGAACAAACTACTTTGGGTTCCTACAGTAATCGTCTTTTCAAAAACCTAGTGATTAATGATTTTCAATTTACTGCTACAGTCGATACCGGAAGCGATATCAGTTTTATCAGATATGACGCGTTGATGAAAATGGGAGACAATGAGTTGAGCAAAGCATCGAAAAGTTTTAGTGGTATTGGAGGAAGCCAGATAACAACAGTAGGCAGTTTCGACAAAGATGTTAGAATTGACGAAGTCATTCTGCGAGTTACATTTCACGTTGCTAAGGAGAGAGACATACTGTATCCCGCTGTACTGGGAAATGACATTTTGAAAAACGTTGATATGATAGTAAACGCTGAGGGAGTCAAATTTGTTAAAAAAAACGCTGAAAATGATTCAATACGCGAATGAGGTAAATAACACGAATACGAACGGTACAGAAAAATATCAAAAGAATAATGGAAATGAAAACAGTACAAACAGCGCTTCGATATTAACCGAATTTCAACAAATCTGTCTATCAACACTAATTGATGACGGTGCTCAAGAAATTGAAATTGACGTTGCTCATTTAGGAGGAAACCATAAAGCAGAGATTACCAAACTCATCAAGAACTATAAACTAGGAAATTCGATTGCATCACCGGTGGAAATGAAAATTATTCTGACAGATGAAGTGCCAGTATATAGCAGACCTAGAAGATTGCCCATAGCAGAACAAAATATAGTTGAAAAGCAGGTAGCAGATTGGCTGAAGGCAGGCATTATCCAACCCAGCACATCTGAGTATGCGTCGCCAGTAGTATTAGTATCGAAAAAAGACGGAACTAAAAGATTATGTTGCGACTATAGAAGGCTAAATCAAAAAATAGTGCGTGATAATTTTCCAATGACTTTGTTTGATGATGTACTTCAACGTTTGGAAAAAGCTAAGGTGTCTACTACATTGGATTTGAGAGATGGATTTTTCCATGTGCCTGTGGAGCTTAGTTCGAGAAAGTACACATCATTCGTAACTTCTAATGGCCAGTATGAATTCAGATTTGTTCCGTTTGGTATTCCAAACTCGCCAGCGTTATTTTGTAGGTATATCGCAGCAGCATTTCGTGAATTAATTCAAGATGGAACAGTGGTGATTTATACGGACGATATAATGATACCAACAAAGGCCGAATTGGAAGGAATTCAAAAACTTAGAAGAGTGTTAGATTTGGCAAGAACATATGGTCTTCAAATCAAATGGTCAAAATGCCAATTCATGAAAAGAACTGTAGATTTTCTGGGCTACGTAATCGAGAACTCCACAATTAGGATTTCAGCAAAGAAGGTGAAGGCGATAGATGACTTTCCAATGACACTAGGTAAGACGGAATTTCAGCGATATCTGGGGTTGACGTCGTATTTTAGACGGTTCGTTCCGCAGTATGCGTTGATTGCAAAACCAATGACTGATATGATGGGTAAAAACGCGAAGTTAAAAATTAATGAAGAAGCAGTAGCAGCATTTCAACAACTAAAAGTGGCATTAACTAACCCACCAGTTTTAAAAATTTATGATCCAAAAGCATACACCGAGATTCATGCTGACGCGAGTAAGTACGGTTATGGTGCCGTATTGTTACAAAAGGATGCCGATGATGCGCAATTACATCCAGTCCAGTACGTGAGTAGGAAAACCAAGCCGGCAGAACAAAATTATCACTTCTATGAGTTGGAAGTTCTAGCAATTACCAAGGCATTGAAAAAATGGAGAGTATTCGTTTTGGGTACGAAGGTAAGGATAGTGACCGACTGTAATGCCTTCGCGATGACCATGAGAAAAGACGACGTTCCGCAACGAGTAGCAGGGTGGGCCATGTATTTACAACAACTCGATTATGTGATCGAACACCGTACGGGTAGTAAAATGAGACACGTGGATGCGCTAAGTCGTGTGGACTGCTTATTGATGGAAGATGCGTTGCAGCATAGAATCAAAGAGGCGCAACTGTTGGACGAGTGGATCCGTGCAGTTAGAAAAATTATAGAGAAGAGTAATTACGATGACTACTATATTAAATGTGACATATTGTATAAAGATCCGAACAAGGAGCTCATGGTGATCCCAGCTGCTATGGAGCAAGAAATAATAAAAATCGCACATCGTCAGTGACATTTCGCTGCAAAGAAAACGCAAGATGTCATTGAGAAGAGTTTCTATATCAAAAATCTAAGCACAAAAGTGATGACTGTGGTAAAAAGTTGTGTAGAGTGCATTTTAGCGGAAGCAAAACTGGGTAAAAAGGAAGGATTCTTGAATCCAATTGATAAGTCTGATAGACCGCTAAACACTTTTCATATGGATCATGTCGGACCGATGGAGAACACCCAAAAGCAGTACAACCACATCTTGGTGATCGTTGATGCGTTTTCTAAATTTATATGGCTGTACCCGACAAAAAGCACAGGCGCTGATGAGGTCGTTGATAAACTGCGTAAACAAGCAGCAACGTTTGGTAACCCAAAAAAAATTATCACTGATCGCGTGGCAGTTTTCGTGTCTAAGAAGTTTGAGGAGTATTATAGAGAAGAACTAATTCAATATTTATTAATTGCAACAGGTATACCGCGGGGAAATGGGCAAGTTGAGAGGATACATAGAATTGTGGTACCAATGCTGACTAAGTACTGCATGGAGAATCCAATAAACTGGTACCGACATGTTGACAAGGTTCAGCAATTGATAAATAATTCATCCCCTCGAAGTACGAATTTTACACCATTCAAGATACTAACTGGGGTAGATATGCGTGTCAAAGAAAACGAAACCATGCGCGCTATTATGACGGAACATGAGGTTATAGAATTACAAAACGAACGAGATACGGTACGAGAAGAGGCTCGTGACAATATAAGGAAAATTCAGGTTGAAAATCGCAAAACTTACGACACCAAACGAACGACCGAAACGCAACATTCAGAAGATGATGTCGTGGCTATTAGGCGTACTCAGTTTGGAACGGGGCTTAAGTTGAAACCGAAATTCCTCGAGCCGTATAAAATCGTCGAAAGGCTTAATCATGGACGGCATTCAGTGGAAAAAATCGGGGATACTGCTGGGCCACGAAGAACGTATGCAGTAGCCGAGGATATAAAAAAATGGCATTCGAGGCGAATGCTTCATCAGAATGGCCGAATGTGGCAATTGGCGGCGGGCAGTAAAATGAATAAACGAAAAAACTGGCAACGCTGCTAGTTTTTGATTGTAGTTAGTTGGAGAGAGTGAGTGCTGTGGACGGGCGTAAAAAGGGAAGAGCGTCGATTTTAAAATACATTGAAATAAATTTTCTTTTTGTAATAAAATATTATTGTAAAAAAATATTAATAAAATTTATTTATCATTATATTAATAAATTTTTCTTACATATATACATGTAAACTTAATTGTTACCTAACTTAATGAAACCCCCCTTCAACGGTGATGACTGAACTGGACCAGCTTATAAAGTTGAACTGTCTGTCGGATAAATGAAAGCGATTATTTAACTAAACGCCGCTTATCGTGAAGTCACTAGAAAGTGAAATAATTAATGGGCCAATGGATACGGATACGTATCCAATAACTAAATTCTTTAAATATTTGTTGAGTTTTATATTATTACTAGTGAACTTATTGCCGCGTAACAATAATAAAATCAATAAATGTTATATTAAATTTTAGGTAAACTCAATTTAGAGTTTTATTAACGTAATAAAATGAACACAAAAAACTTATTATGAATAGTTCTTAGTATATTAATATATAATCCATTATTTCAATGACCTGTCAGCAAAAAGCTACGGGTTGCACTCCGATTGATTCTCTTCAGTAAAGTACCTTGTACAGGAATATAAAAAAAGTTGTTCTCCTATATTCCAGATTTGGTCAAATTTTTTATCTTAAATCTAATCTTTGAAAGAAAATAAACATTTGTTCTCTTCAACATACATTACCTTGAATGTCGGATTAAATCCATGTTCTTCGATAATGTCTACCCCGAATGAAGTTATTTGAAAGCAGCCATTGAGTGTTCGTCAGAAAATGTCATGATTCTGGTGTTTCACCACAAAGCAATGAATGCAATGGCTCAGGTGACGAAGTCAATAATGGCAATTTCACTTTGCTATTAAGGCAGCACAATTCCAGTGACTCTCCAGCAAACTTTAATGCACCACAATGTTCGCAAGTAATGTCCATTGGACCAATGTCAACGAAAGGATGCGAACTGTAATCATTAGCGCAATCGTATAGAAACGCTGCTCGATACAAATTAACAGTTGAAGCATTTCTTCTTGCGCGTCGGAGATTATGTCGTTCTTGATCTGTGTAATAAGCTCGACGATTACTCATTGCCAACCGAGCCATTTCACGAGCTGCCTCTCCTTGCTCTTGTGTTTGAGAAGCGTTACATTAAACTCGGGTTATGCTAAATTAAACTTTCTGGCTCGCGGCATTGTTAATAATATACGCATTTTAAAACATCATATATTAACAACACTCTCACAAAACAAACAAACCGACCTGTAAAATGTATATGCTTTTTTGCAATACTCGAAAAGCTATCTGGCCAGCCGAAAATTCAATAAATTAAAAATAAAGTTTTCCTTTTTTTGTATTTTAAATTTATTTTTTATTTTTATTTCTTATTTCTCTATGAAACAAAAAAATTAGACTTTCAATAATTACAGTTCATATATTGATAACAGTATTTATTTATTATTTATAGCAGCTTTTTGAAATTCGGTTAATCAGTCATTCGATGTGACAGCTATTTTCATTTGTTCTCTATATTTTTATTTACATTCGAGTATCGTATTGAAACAAGTATCGAAATGATTTGAACTCAACCAAACTTGAGCGGCCGATTGCGACAGATAGCGGAGTTCCAAACCTAATATATTTATTAATTAATTTTCTTTAAAATTCTTTTAATGCTTTTTTCAATATTTTAATATATATTCTGCTATTCGGAGCGGAGACGAATCCAACAAATCAAAGATAATTAAAATCGGTGCAGCCCTTCTTGAATTATAAGTGGTCTAACTAACATGACTTTCTTTTATGTATATAGATTATTATTTATATTATTATTATTATATTGTTACGTAATCGCCTTTATGCGTGTATATTCGAATCACGGGATTTTGTGAAAAATGAAACAAACTTCTTAATTGGCGAAACTATACTTTATTATAGTATTGTAGTATTAAAAATAACTAGTAATTACTAGGAACAAATTTTGGAAAACACAGCTTCACTCAAAACAAATTCCAACTAACTTTTTTATAAAATATCAATTGACATAATGATTAAATAATATTTAAACATTCCATTGTTGATCTGATCAAATTCGTAATAATATTATTATCAAATGTTAAAACAAACGCTTATTGCAAATTATTATTCCTATAATTGTCTAAATTAATTTCTTATTTTTGTATTTTTTTTTTGGGTTTATTTGTGTTATCATATATTCGTTGCAAGACGTAATAAGATCATTTTCACAAGCCACTGTGTAAGGTGATAAATATTAGTGTTCCTTTATCGGTCGCTCTTTCTTAGTGGCAGCAATAGGCATGCCACTGCGGTTATTCTGTTGTTCCCACAAATACAATACGAGTTAGCACATGGCAAAAGTGGTAACACATTTAATTCATTAAATTTGTAAGGCAAGTTGGTGTGTGACAAAACACATACATTGTGACCGAAAAGTTTCCGGAAAATTTTAAATAAAACGCAAAATTCTTAATCTTCATCAATATTTATTTTATCTCCTTCAAAATATGCTCCATTAGAGCGATACACAATGCCAACGTTTCTTCCATCATCAAAACTTTTTATAGGCGCTTTCCGGTATGGCTTTGAGTTCCCTCTGCGAATTCTGTTTTACGTCTTCTATGGATTCAAAACGCGTTCCTCTGAGTGGTAATTTGAGGTTGGGAAACAGGAAAAAGTCACACGGTGCAAGATCAGGTGAATACGGTGGCTGTTCGATGGTATTTATTGAATGTTTGGCCTTAAAATCGTTGATAATGTTGAACAAATTGAGGTGAATCGGAACAAGCCGGGCGTTGACACGTCGCATACACAAATTGTCCACCAAAATCAAACGAGCCATCTCACGACCGATGCCTAGCTCTCGTGCTATCTCTCTAACACTCACATGAGGATTTTTGAACACGATTTCCTTTGCCTTTTCAATGTTTTCGTCGGTGGTAGAGGTCGAAGGTCGTCCAGAACGCGGCATGTCTTCGACGGTCGTACGACAGTCCTGAAAGGCTTTGTACCACTCATAAACTTGAGTTTTCGATAAAACTGATTCCCCATAAGCCTTTTGTAGCATTCGCAACGATTCTGCACACGAAATTTCGTTCGAAAAACAAAATTTGATGCAAACTCTTTGTTCAATATTTTTTTCCATTGTTTTTTTCGCAACGCACTACTGAGGTGAACTGGTTTAAACAGCTGCCGTAAACGAACTGTCTGACAGATCGCGCTCATTTTTGGCATAGTAATTGTCCTTAATTGCTGCCAAACTACATAAACTTAAAATTAAAATATCGAAAAATATACAGCGCGCGAATTTTAAATGAGAATTTCCGAAAGCTTTTCGGTCACAATGTATACCAGCATGCTAAGCTAACTGCATTAAGCAGATGTAGTGTAAGCTTAGATAATGCATAGAATTTCCACAAGTGCATTTGGCCTTGAATGCTCAGATCTATTGGACAACAAATTGTGGGAATTAGGTGCACTTTCTCTTTAAGCATAAGAGTAATGCTGATTTTTGTATAAAACCTTAAGATTTTTTAATAAAGAACTAATTCAAAATCAGAATTCATACAATTGTTTTCTATGGTTAAAGTGCATAAGAAATCTTGAACAAATTGATTTATGTGCCAAATTTGTGACTCACAAAACACAAAAGAAAAACAATTATAAAATATCCCGCCAGGCTTACTGACTGGTTTTGAATTTTTTTAATAATAGAGTTCTTAACTCCAGAGTCATGGTTACTATCAATAGATTCAGTTGGATTTATTTTACTCTGATGCGCGTGCAATTTACCAGTTTTCTGTTTGCGAAGTTTTTGGAGTTCGCGTGAAACAATACAGCCGTGGTAATTGACAGGG